AGGAGGAGGAGGAGGAGGAGGAGGAGGAGGAGGAGGATGAAGAAGAAGAAGAAGAAGAAGAAGAAGAAGAAGAAGGAGGAGGAGGAGGAGGAGGAGGAGGAGGAGGAGGAGGAGGAGGAGGAGGAGGAGGAGGAGGAGGAGGAGGAGGAGGAGGAGGAGGAGGAGGAGGAGGAGGAGGAGGAGGAGGAGGAGGAGGAGGAGGAGGAGGAGGAGGAGGAGGAGGAGGAGGAGGAGGAGGAGGAGGAAGAAGAAGAAGAAGAAGAAGAAGAAGAAGAAGAAGAAGAAGAAGAAGAAGAAGAAGAAGAAGAAGAAGAAGAAGAAGAAGAAGAAGAAGAAGAAGAAGAAGAAGAAGCAGCAGCAGAAGCAGAAGCAGAAGCAGAAGAAGAAGCAGAAAAAGAAGAAGAAGATGAAGAGGAGGAGGAGGAGGAGGAGGAGGAGGAGGAGAAGAAGAAGAAGAAGACAATGTACAAACCGCTCATGAAAACAAAAAAATTTCCCTGACTTTTTGTTTTGATTAAAAGGTTTAAAAACATTTTACTTATAAAGGAAAAACAATGTTAGTATAAAAGATTATTACAAGTATAGACGAGCGTGTTTAAAATTGCAAAATTGCTTTACACTGCTTTGGAACAGCCCCCCCCCCCTCCCCTCCCCGAGGTTGGAGACCCCTTGTGTAAATGCGTCTGTTCATATTAGACGCCAGTATTTATTACTATCAAATTTAAAAGTTACTTAGTATATAAGAAGTTTAAGTGACAACAGCTCGCACTGAAAGAGTTATACAGGATGTCACAACCCTCCTCAGCATTTACAGACTACGCACACATGCGCGCGCGCACACACACACACAGGTTGGGCAGCCCTCACGAGATATCAGATCTGCTTGACCAATTTTCCTGCATCTCAACTGGTATACTGTTACCAAAATGTAATAAAACACAAAACATGAATCCTTCAAAATGATATAAGTCTAAGATTAATTACGTGATCATCATTAAAGTTTAAGATTAACCACATTATCCGTTTTTTAAATCTAATGCAAAATCTCCTTTTCACCACAGCTTCCGCCAATTTTAGTAACCACATATTCAGTGTGTGATGGGTAAACCAGAAACCATATACATGGATACTAACAGATGACATTCTATGGAAGAGTTAGGCTTTTTCCTCTTGGCTGATTTTCTCATTTGTGATGGATGCTGATGATGGGGACAGTGCTCATGTCCCATGTGCTGTGATGTTAAATGAGTTAAGCAAAAGAACAAGAACTAAAAATCGTTGTTGCCTGGGTGTTACTAGGCCTCAGGAAACCAAGAATGATAAAAGTGTTATCTGTTATGCAACTTTTAAATGGTCACTAATGCTGGTTGGAGAACCGCTGTGGTGTGGCGGCTAAACACTCAACTGTGGATCAGAAGGTTGTGTTTTAAAAATGACCTTGGCTCCTAGATCGACAGCCTTGAGTGGGTACCAGGTATAGTCCTGGGAAGTAAGGCAGCTGGCATATGTTGACCACATCACCCACCTAGTGTCAATTAAAAATATAGGTCTAGCCCTACATGCCCAACACGCTTAAAGGCATGGAAAAGGGTCCTTTACTTAACTTTAGTATTGACGGTTGGCAATGTATCTGATAACTCATACTGATTAAAACCTCACTCTTCTTTGTCTTGTCTTGTCTTGTCCACAATTGCCTCACAGCGTAGTGGGGAGTCGCAGTTTTCTATCCTGGGCCAGGTGTGTTGCACGTGTTGTTGTTAGTCCGTGTTGCCTCAGGATCTCTTCTTTATGGCAGTGAATCTTTGTCAACTTATTTGCACCAGGAGAAAGGGCTGTTTAGCTTTCACATGTGATGCCTAAGAAGAATATTTGGCCTTAAGTGGCAAGACAAGATCACAAACACTGAGCCATTGGAAACAGCAGTTTTTTTGGGGGGAGGGGGGGGGGGTTGTTTTCCAATGCTCAGTCTCCAAAGGTTCAGGTGGCTGGGTCACGCACGAAAAATGAAGGATGGCAGATTCCCTCAGGAAATCCTCTATGGTGAAATATAGGCACAGTAACGCCCAACAGAATTAACTAAGCATCTAATAACTACATCTACCTGGGCTAGGAGCCTGTCCTACTACTGGGTGTGTTTACCTGGTGGTGGATGGTGGATTGGCTTCTAGATATAAAGGCTAGCCTTAAATATACTGAATAAGCGGCCGTGGACCAAAACAGGTGGTGGTTACTGAGAGGAGGCGAGCTAGCTGGTAGGACAGCAAGATCTATAAAATACTTCAAAACTCTGTGACATGACCATCTGCGGGTAAGATGCGTTAATCTCTCTCCCCTGCTGCCTTGCAGGGTATGTCTCTTTAGACAAATGCTATTGGAGTTCAACAACAAACTAACCGGCAGAAGGCAAAGGGGAAACCATTGCTGTATTTTCTAGTCAATCATGCCTTTAAACCAGTCATGCTCGAAGATAACTTATCACAAACATCAAAAAGAGACAGTCATCATTTTTTGCTCATGTTATGAGATGAGGGAAAATCGGAACATGTTGTGACCACTGGAAAGATCTGTGGAAAAAGAGGGACAGCGGAAGACAGGGCGGGAAGATTCTTGACAGTCTTTTGTCATGGCATGGAGGGGTGTCAACATACGAACTGATACACACAGTTGTGGATCGCAGATTATGGAGAGGCATGATTATCCAGGCCAGCCGGCAAGGCACTTAGTGATGATGATGCATCCTGTAAATAGGTCAATGCAGACAAGTAAGAAAAGTGACATTTATGGGGAAATGGAATCAAAATAGAAGTGTCAGTTTTGTGGCTTCTCTGGGAGACACAGTAAAGTCTATTAAGGGCTTGGCGTACCTCGGAAAAGACCCAAAAAAAAGTTAAGGAAAGATCTGAGAGTATCAATTTGAGTGTGCCTTATAAACTTACCCTGCCAACAGAGGGCGACTCTGGCAAATCTCCATTCATCACTTCCAGATTAGGCTGACTATTGGGGTTGCCTCTGATTTTAGATGACGAATTTAATACATCTGTGAGTAGTAAAGTAGTTCTTGATTATTGTAAAGTAGTACCTGTGGTGATAGACTAGCATCTGCTTTTAGTAAAGAAATGTTTCACTGTAGTCATGTGGCATCTGAATATAGTAAAGTAGTACCAAACTGACGTTAAGTAGTATATAGTTGTAGTAAACTAACACCTGACTGTAGTAAAGTAGTACCTAAATTGAAGTTAAGTAGTATGTAGTTGTAGTAAACTAGCACCTGACTGTAGTAAAGTAGTACCTAAATTGAAGTCAAGTAGTATGTAGTTGTAGTAAACTAGCACCTGACTGTAGTAAACTAGTACCTAACTGAAGTTAAGTAGTATGTAGTTGTAGTAAACTAGCACCTGACTGTAGTAAAGTAGTACCTAAATTGAAGTCAAGTAGTATGTAGTTGTAGTAAACTAGCACCTGACTGTAGTAAACTAGTACCTAACTGAAGTTAAGTAGTATATAGTTGTAGTAAACTAGCACCTGACTGTAGTAAAGTAGTGCCTAAATTTAAGTTAAGTAGTATGTATTTGTAGTAACTAGCACCTGACTGTAGTAAAGTAGTACCTAAATTGAAGTCGACAAGTAGTATATAGTTGTAGTAAACTAGCACCTGACTGTAGTAAAGTAGTACCTAATTGAAGTCAAGCAGTATGCAGTTGTAGTAAATTAGCACCTGACTGTAGTAAAGTAGTACCTAAATTGAAGTCAAGTAGTATGTAGTTGTAGTAAACTAGCACCTGACTGTAGTAAACTAGTACCTAACTGAAGTTAAGTAGTATTTAGTTGTAGTAAACTAGCACCTGACTGTAGTAAAGTAGTGCCTAAATTTAAGTTAAGTAGTATGTATTTGTAGTAACTAGCACCTGACTGTAGTAAAGTAGTACCTAAATTGAAGTCGACAAGTAGTATATAGTTGTAGTAAACTAGCACCTGACTGTAGTAAAGTAGTACCTAATTGAAGTCAAGCAGTATGCAGTTGTAGTAAACTAGCACCTAACTGTAGTAAAGTAGTACCTAAATTGAAGTTAAGTAGTATGTAGTTGTGGTAAACTAGCACCTGATTGTAGTAAAGTAGTACCTAATTGAAGTCAAGTAGTATGTAGTTGTAGTAAACTAGCACCTGACTGTAGTAAAGTAGTACCTAATTGAAGTTAAGTAGTATGTTTTTGTAATAAACTAGCACCTGATTGTAGTAAAGTGGTACCTAATTGAAGTTAAGTAGTATGTATTTGTAGTAAACTAGCACCTGACTGTAGTAAAGTAGTATCTAAGTGTAGCCAACCAAGCAGTATAGGAGGTCTCCATGGCAAAGTGGTCAAGCTGTTGGCCTTGCGATCTGAAGATCATAGGCTCGTTTCATGGCGGTGCTGTTCAGTTCACGAGTGCAACTTTTACAGAGATTCCTGGGGATTGTTACTGGAGCTATGGAGGTTGGGCTCTGTGCGACACTCTGGGCAGGCAGGTAGCTGTTCTGTGGAAAGAGACTGAGCCATATGGGATAAAACCCAGTCAAATGAAGCGATAAACACCCCATGACACTAAGTGCCACCATGTGGATGAGGATCACCCATGGAGAGGTCCCAGAAATCGTGTTTAGCTATTAGACCATATTTATGGCCAGGCTATATTGCGGCCCCTGGCAAGAGCCAGAGTAGGGCTTCAAATAACGAAAAATGTTGTCCTAAAAAGGAGGAGAGGTATATACATTAGTCCTTTCTCCTCACTGATCAAAGGATGTATTTGCATTGCGCTTGTTTACAGTACTGCTGCAATATTTCTGCCTTTTAGCTAACACATGCATCGTCAGGCACATGTTGTCTGGAATGATCTACCCAGTTATGAGTCTCTGTGTTTGAAAAATAATTTATCATCACAGCTTACAACAGATAAAAAAGTGATAATGAAAAAGAGAAAGAAATGATATAGTTGTGTAGAGACTAGATAAAAGTTTTGCTTACCTCCCTTAGATTTCATGGACAATGTTCGCCCAATCTCTGAGAACGTTCTCTTCATTGAAATGGACTTAAACATGACCTTTGCCACATCCCCATCTGGAGTAGACATTTTCCTGCGAGATTTTTGGTGTTGGAAGCAATGCTGGCCAATCATTGCAGCTCTCACAGAGTCCCTGAGCTGTTCTTCTAGAAGTTTCTGGCTTATTGAGTTGTCAATAAATAAATCTGTGATATAAATGGGGAAAAGTCATTTTAATTGTTTACAGCGGTGAAGTAAAGTTTTTACGGAAGTAAAGGACCCTTTTCCATGCCTTAGGACTTGTTAGATACATGGTACCGGCCAGATATTGTTGCAGATAGCTGGCACTAAATAAATTATGTGGTGAATATTAAGCTGGCCGTCTTTATTTTACTTGTAATTTCCTGAAATATTTTTGGGGGGATTTTTTTTCTTCATTTTATATATAAAAAACAAAATCTCTGATTGCAACTGTCTAACTGTTTTAATTTATAGCCTGTACTAGTCCGTTACACTTTCAAATATTTTTGTGCAATTTTTGTGCAATATTATTTCAAATAACGTTTTTAAAGTTTGTTAAAGAAAACATTTTTATAATAAATGGAATTGTCTAGGGGTTGTTTAAGATTAACAAGGCGTATTTTTTTATTTTAATGGTCACAATTCTCAGGTTGAAGAAATCATAAAAAAAAAAAAAAAAGCCCAATGACAGATTTCCTAAAATTCTGATTTTGTTTGACATACGTAACATTCATTTCAAGACCAACAAGTCTGTATTTAAAAATGATAAAAGGAGGCCCATACATATTATACATTCCCTAGATCTAAAAAAAAAAAAAAAGATCTATCCAACAACTTAAAGAAAAAGATCTAGCCAACATCAATTCAAAATCTGATTGCAGAAGATTCACCTTTTTCTACATTTATCTTTAAAAGAGCACTTGGCTCGCTGTGTTGCGGTTTACAGTTAGACTGTGATATCTGCAACAGTTCAGCAAATCCTTCACTATCTCCCCATGAGGGACCCTGAACCCACGTAAGGAAATTTCAAAAGCTGATTACTAAGACAAATAAACTTGTGGAAAATGAAACATTCTGAGCATGTAGAGAGAAATGAAGATCTAGAGCAGATAATCATAGAGGGAGGTGGTCTGGAAAATGAAGATCTGGAGCAGATAATCACAGAGGGAGGTGGTCTGGAAAATGAAGATCTACAGCAGATAATCACAGAGGGTCTGGAAAATGAAGATCTACAGCAGATAACCATAGAGGGTGGTCTGGAAAATGAAGATCTAGAGCAAATATTCACAGAGGGTGGTCTGGAAAATGAAGATCTACAGCAGATAACCATAGAGGGTGGTCTGGAAAATGAAGATCTATAGCAAATACTCACAGAGGGTGGTCTGGAAAATGAAGATCTACAGCAGATAACCATAAAGGGTGGTCTGGAAAAGTAATATCTAGAGCAGATAATCACAGAGGGTGGTCTGGAAAATTAAGATCTAAGGCAGATAATCACAGAGGGAGGTCTGGAAAATAAATGTCTACAGAAGATAATCACAGAGGCAGGTGGTCTCGACAAGCAGAGAATAGAACAATAACAATAATGCTATACTTCTTCAGTCCTTGAGGTTCAGTGCTGCAGATTGTTACTACATCCATGCATCTCTGTGACTGGCTTTGTCTTTCCAGTTAGTTGTTCCAAGTGTTTGCAGGTTTGCCTGTACATTATCTCCCCACTGTCTTCTTGGTGAGCCTCCTGGTTTACTCCTATTAATCTCTTTTTTCTATACATTTTCTGTCTCTCTTTTGTCTGTCATTTTTTTTTTTCCAATAGGCCACAACTATTGCAGTTGAATGCTATAAGAAACAAACTGTAGAGAGAAGAAACATGACCTACCTGCCACCTGGTGCACACTTAAGGCATCCATCTCCAACATACAGGCACCGGAAGTGAGGCAGTTCCTCAGCTCAAACAGCGAATGAAGGGACAGTGAGGCCACATGAGGCTTGGACCAGCGCATACCTCCTTCCTCAACATCTTCCTCGTACTTCACCCATCTAACAACATGATGCAAACAAATCATGACATTAAATTAAATTCTGTGTTGCCTCCATAATGAAGACTAGCTACAATGTCAGCACTGCTGTCCTAGGGGAATATTATGTGTTGAGACCCCGGTCTCTTCTACGGTGAGACTCTCGTACTGCTGTCCTAGGGGAATATTATGTGTTGAGTCCCCAGTGTCTTCCACGGTGAGACTCTTGTACTGCTGTCCTAGGGGAATATTATGTGTTGAGTCCCCAGTCTCTTCTACGGTGAGACTCTCGTGCTGCTGTCCTAGGGAAATATTATGTGTTGAGTCCCCAGTCTCTTCCACGGTGAGACTCTCGTGCTGCTGTCCTATGGGTTGTTGTTGTTGTTGTTGTTGTTATCGATCCAGCGGCGCATGAGCTTTCGCCCTTTGGCCCAATGCCATGTAGTGGAATTTGCATGTTTTCACAAGCTGTTCTTTTCCTCCGTACAAGGTGTTCCACTTGTCTGGTCTCGGAGGGAGTAGCGTTCTTCTTGTCTCATTGAGTTTTGGGCACTCAAAGAGATGGTGTTCAACAGTTTCGTAGGGGTAGTTACATAGCTGGCACTCTGGGGAGTGTTGTGGCTGTATTCTGTTTAGGTGTCCATTGAGTGGAGTATGTTGCGTTCTAAGTCTGAAGATGGTGGCCTGGTCCCTTCTTGTTAGATGGTTAATGCTGTCATTAGGATCAGGGCCAGACATATGTCTATAAACCTCTCTTCCAGTGTCTCCCATGGCCCATCTGTTCAACCAAGTCTCTTTGTTTATAGCTCTTATCAGTGTTTTTGCTGTCTGGAGGGTTGTCGCTGTAGGTGGTTGTTCTTGTGTTGCTCCTTTCTTTGCCAATCTGTCAGCTCTGTCATTACCTGGTGTGCCGGAGTGACCTGGAATCCACTGCATCACTATTCTGATGTTGTATGAGGTAATAAGATGATCGGCATCCAGGATTATCTTGGCTATGTCAGTTCTGCAGCGTTCATTGCCCTCCAGAGCTTGAAGGGCAGACATTGAATCTGTGAAGATGACAATATTTTGGACCTTTGAGGGGTAAACATCCATTACAGTCTTTAGGTGGTATACTGCTGTTTCCAGTGCAATTATTTCAGCTTCATAGTTTGAACAGAATTCCCCGCATGCATCAAAAATCTCTTCAACAGATCCATCGGGATAACCTATGTAGATTCCGTAACCTGCTTTAATGGTAGCTTTAAATGCTGATCCATCAGTATAGACATGTATCCATTCTTGGGGGTAAGAATCAACGGTCTTTAGTGATGAGTTCATAAGAGCGATTGGGTCGGACTGTTTGGTTTCCTCGCCTACCAATTTAGTTTGGACTTCTGGAGCTTTAAAGCGAGCATGTGGTGGTAGGTTTTTTGCAACATTCTGAATTCCTTGACGTCTTTCTGGGAGGTGGTATCTGTCCTGAATTTCATTTACACAGTGTAAAACCGATTTGTGCTTTATTCTTTGTTTGGATTCCCAGTTTTCTACAAGATGTCTATTAGGATGGTTACGATTTTTCCTAACGCATCTTTCATAAATTTCTAAAGTGGCTTTTTCTCTCCGCAACCCGAGGGGTTCCACATTTGTATGGATTTCACATGCAGCAGTTGGTGTAGACTGCATAGCTCCGCAGATTAATCGGAGGGCATTATTTTGTACTCTGTCAAGAATCTCTAGGTTAGTTTTGGAACAAGTTGTAAGCAGTGAGTTGTTGTACTCTATCACAGAGCGAACATATCCTAGGTATAAGCCCCTCAGAGTTTCCTTGTCTGATCCCCATGATGTACCTGCAAGTCTCTTTAATAACTGTAACCGCCTCAATGCCTTATTCCTGATGTTTTCAATATGGTTCTTGAGGCTGAGCTGCGGGTCAAGTGTGACTCCAAGGTATGTGGGATGCTCTTCTTTCATCACTTGGTGTTTGTCTAACCTCAGGTTAATATTCTTCCTTGCTACTTGGTGGCTTTTGGTAAAGATTGTGTAGACCGTCTTTGCACAGTTAATCTTGAGTTTCCATCTTTGGCAGTAATCATGCAGTCTTCTAAGGTCTCCATTCAGTCTTTGGGCTCCACTTTCCACATTTTCATGACTCTGCCATATTGCTAGGTCATCAGCGTACAAGGCTTTTTCGGCCTTGATTTGTTCTGGCAGGTCATTGATAAAGATTAGGAATAGTGTACAGCTCAATGATGAGCCTTGTGGCAAGCCCTCCTCCAAGACTTCTTTAGAAGAGATTGCGTTGTGCATCTTTAGTCTGGATTGTTCTATCTATCAGGAAGTATTTCACCCAGTTATACAATCTGCCATGTATTCCTATGCTCATCATCTTCATCAGGAGACCTTTTCTCCATACTCTGTCATAGGCCTGCTGGAGGTCGACAAAGACTGCCACTGTGTGTTTCTTATTCTGGAAGCCATCATGTATTCTTTGTGTCAGTCTGAACAGCTGGTCTTCTGTGCAGCTGTTGGTTCTGAAGCCTGCCTGTTCATGGCATAGAACACCAGAACTCTCAAGGAACCAATATAAGCGCCTGTTTATCATTCTTTCTGCAACTTTGCCCAAGCATGATGTTAAGGATATCGGGCGGTAGCTTTTGGGGTCATCTGGAGGCTTTTTGGTTTTAAGGATGGGGACGATATATGCATTCCTCCATGCCCTTGGAAGTTTGCTTGACCTCCAAGTTTTATTAATAAGCCTGAGAACTACTTCTCTCCCAGACCGGCCAAGATGTAGCAGCATTTCGTTGTGGATCTTATCTGGGCCTGGAGATTTTCTAGGTTTTAATTTCTTCAGGGCTTGCTCTAATTCATCCATGCTAAATTCATTTTCAAAAAGGGAGTCGCTGGCTGTTGGAGCTCTCTCTTGTTTCTTCAACTGAGAGAGCTGTGTTCTATCGAGTTCTGACAGCTTACCTGCTCTGTTAACCGAGGCAAAATAATGATTGAAATGTTCTGCTTTCTTCTTGTCTTCAGTGATTGTCTTACTCCCATCTGTCACTGGTTTTGGGTTCACCCTTCTACTTTCTCCGGAGAGGTTTTTAACTAAAGTCCATGCTTTATTTCCATTCTGTCTAAGGTCTAAGTTGGAGCAAGTTTCTGTCCATTTATCTCTTTTAGCCTTATTAACTACAAGCTTTACTCTGGCACATGCTTTATTGTATTGGATCTTTGCTTCTGTTGAACGTGCAGTTTCGAGAAATATTCTTGCTTTATTCCTTTCAGATATAGTATTTTGAATTTCTTGATTCCAAAAAGGTTTATATGCCTTCCGGCTGCCCCTTGGGATGGCTTTCGACGCTGCATTCAGGATTGCTTGTGTTATGTCTTCACAAAAAGTTTCCACACAGCTGTTGTCAATTCTTCCCAGGAGGCAGTCAGATGTTTCCTGAAATAGTTTCCAGTTTGCTTTTCGGAAATTCCAACGGGTTCTCTGCTTGAAGCGTAATTTAGGGGTGGTGCTTACAGTTGTGAGTATAGGTTTGTGGTCACTTCCTATGTCGTCCAGGACTTGGGGATAGCTTGCGTCTGCTAAGTCGGATGAGCAGATGGTCAGGTCTGGTCTGCTGAGAGATAGGTGGGCCCTGTGTAACAGTGTAGGTGTAGACTCTGTGTCCTGCAGCACTAATAGGTTAGTTGTTTCACAAGTATCTTCGATGTACTTCCCTGTGCTATTGTACTGTCCTATGGGGAATATTATGTGTTGAGTCTCCAGTCTCTTCCACGGTGAGACTCTCGTGCTGCTGTCCAGAAACAAATGAGAACAGTTTTAAAATAATGAAATAAACCATCTACTATAGGAATTGAACCTCGAACCTTCATACTCCAGGATCATAACACTGTCGTGCACGGCTGAGTGACTAAATAGGGGTGTCGAGACTGAACAAGGGGAAAGAACCCATCTCATGTATAGGACATCATATGCCTAACTCTGGATATGTTACTGACAAGGATAGTGCTTTCCATGTGACTGATTTACTATACATTGAACTGGAAAATGCTGAGACCGACCGAAGCTTTAACAATAACAAAATGAGTAACCTCCTCTTATGTAAGCAGAAGAAATTCATTATAAATCTGAAGCTACCCTGGTAAGTCAAGTGACTATCATGAACTTCTGGTGACTGGATGAACATGATGTATATTTCATTTATCGTCCCAATAAGGGACTTAATTTTTCTGTATTTTAAAGCCCCACCCCGGCTGTAGTCAGGGGCCCTAGTATAACCTAATGATTGAACAGGGTTTTTGGGACCTCTTCCTGGGTGATCCTCATCCACATGGTGGCACTTTGTGTCACCAGGTGTTTACTTCTTGGTGGATGTCCCGGTGAGGGTTGAATCTCACTCATTCACACGATGTATCAAGAGCAGCCATTTGTATTTCAGTAGAATTTATTCAGTTTTTGTGCATTATTACACGTTGACGTAACTTGGTAGTAAAGCACCTGACGAGATACAGTGAAATATACCTGGCAATAAATACTGCAATGTATTATTTGTGTCCATATTATTTAAATTAATTACGGGAAAAACTGTTTTGAAGATCATAAAAACGCTAACCTATAGGCCACAGAATCGCATACAGATCATACCTTTAGGCCACAGAATCGCATACAGATCATACCTTTAGGCCACAGAAACTCATACAGATCATACCTATAGGCCACAGAATCGCATACAGATCATACCTATAGGCCACAGAATCGCATACAGATCATACCTATAGGCCACAGAAACTCATACAGATCATACCTATAGGCCACAGAAACTCATACAGATCATACCTATAGGCCACAGAATCGCATACAGATCATAAGACACCAGAAATCTTCTTCTTAGTGTTCAGGTTATTTATTAGTAAGTAAACAGTAAAAATCAAGGTCAAATTTGTGACGACTGGCAAGATTGATGGGGAAAAGAGGAAGCATAAAGCAAAGAGAAAAATATATGGATGGCTTGGCCATATGAGTGAGCTTAGACTAGAACACTGACATGATCCACGATTCTGGTGATCGTGTGAGATAGCAAAACATGACAACCTAAGCTAATCAGTGCAGTTATGTGATGACCACCATACACAGACTTTGTGGTCTTTATACTGAAAAGACAGACAGCATATAAAGGGTGTTTGTAAAGTCTCACAATACTTTGTAAGTATAATAAATTGTTTTTTAAAAAGCACATGAGGTCATCAAAAAATGTGCTCCAGTCAATCCTAAAGCATTATGCAGTGAATGGCTGTTGTGTGCTGGAGTAATTATTTGCACTCAATACAAAATGGTGTTTATCAACGGAAGCTGTCAGAGCTACCATTCAAGAAATAACAACAGGCACGTTTCAGAAGATATAGGCACGTTGCAGAAGGTATTGCACAATAAAAAGAGATGTGTACAGTCATTACTTGAAGTCTGTGGTGGACATTTCCAACAGCTGTTATAATGAATATTTCAATGATACTTCCAGCTCCCTCCCAAAAAAAAAAAAAAAAAAAAAAAAAAAGACCACAGCGGTGACCACTGTAGCTAATTCATTGACTTTTTAAGCACTTTTTTTATGACATTATGCATTATTTTTCAAATTTGTTCTGCATAAAAAGGGTAGTGAGACTTTACAAACATCCTATACTGTTACCACACCTGGTGGTTTCTCACCTGGCGGTTTCTCTCCACTGGTAGTTATCCCCAAGTTTGTAGAGAACATCCATCTCACAGAAAATATCATGAGAAGGGTGGGATGTATTATCATCAGCTTCACTCAGCAAACTTTGAATCTGTTCGCTTGGCGTGAGATTTGCTGTTTGTGATGAGAAGACAGGAAAAACAGTATCAACACCACATCTTGTATACACCACAACTTGTATACACCACATCTTGTGTACACCACATCTTGTATACACCACAACTTGTATACACCACAGCTTGTATACACCACAACTTGCATACACCACAGCTTGTATAGATTTTCCCTAATCAGGTAATCGTGGTTCAAACATCACCCCAACAGTTGCCCTGTTACTGTGACAATGAAAAGTACACAAAATGCCTATCACTGTCCCTGTAATGTCACCAAGGTCAAACAGGTTTTGCCTATTATTGTCCCTTTTTACGTCACCGAGGTCAAAAATGTATTGCCTATCACTGTCCCTTGTAACGTCACCGAGGTAAAAAAAAATGTTGCCTTTCACTGTCCCCCATGTGGGTTCCCGGGCCCTATTGTGGGGAAAACAAGAATAGACCCACTGCCTCCCCAAAAGCACGTCGTAAGAGTCGACTAACTGGGGAGCTTCCTTTGAAGTCGGAGTGCATCTGCCTGAGAGGCAAGGAACCAGCAGTCTACATTCAATTGAATCAGATCTGTAAAACTGATGCACACGCAACACTCAGGTTCTGGAGCAGGACTGCAGTCCAAAAGTGGACGAACAACCAGAACTTTACGCCAGAGTGTACAGCTGGTGAACGCGAAGAAGAAGAAGAAGAAGAAGAAGACTGTCCCTTGTAGCGTCCCCGAGGTCAAAAATGTTTTGCCTATCATTGTCCCTTGTAACGTCACGAGGTCAAAAATGTTTTTCCTATCATTGTCCCTTATAACGTCACTGAGGTCAAAAATGTTTTGCCTATCATTGTCCCTTATAACGTCACCGAGGTCAAAAATGTTTTGCATAATATTGTCCCTTGTAACGTCACCGAGGTCAAAAATGTTTTGCCTATCACTGTCCCTTATAACGTCACCGAGGTCAAAAATGTTTTGCCTATCATTCATTGTCCCTTATAACGTCACCTAGGTCAAAAATGTTTTGCCTATCATTGTCCCTTGTAACGTCACCGAGGTCAAAAATGTTTTGCCTATCATTGTCCCTTATAACGTCACCGAGGTCAAAAATGTTTTGCCTATCATTGTCCCTTATAACGTCACTGAGGTCAAAAATGTTTTGCCTATCATTGTCCCTTATAACGTCACCGAGGTCAAAAATGTTTTGCCTATCATTGTCCCTTATAACGTCACAGAGGTCAAAAATGTTTTGCCTATCATTGTCCCTTTTAACGTCACCGAGGTCAAAAATGTTCAGTGAAAAACAAAACCTAAAGGATCCTTTTCCACGTCTTCGGGCGTATTGGGCATGTAGGTCTAGACCCATTTTGTAGACCAGTCGGCACTTGGTGTGTGACGTGGTCAGCATCATGCCGGCCGCCTTTATCTCACGGGACCGCTCCTGGTATCCACTCAAAGCTGGGTCGACCTGGGAGCCAATGTCAATTTTTTTCCCGTCAGTACCAGAACCCATGACCGTCCGTTTCGCAGGCGAGCGTCTAGCCGCTACACCACGGCGATTCCCGAGACCAAAGTTGACAGGTGAAAATAGGGAAGACTGACTTCATTACACCGAGTTTGATCCCATATGGTCTCTCTATGTATGTATGTATGTATGTATGTATGTATGTATGTATGTATGTATGTATGTATGTATGTATGTATGTATGTATGTATGTGTGTGTGTGTGTGTGTGTGTGTGTGTGTGTGTGTGTGTATGTATGTATGTATGTATGTGTGTATGTATGTATGTATGTATGTATGTGTGTGTGTATGTATGTATATGTGTGTGCATGTAGTATGTAAGTATGTGTGTATGTATGCGGGTGTGTGTGAATGCATGTGTGTGTAAGTGATTGAGTGGGTGTGTGCATGTGAGTATGTGTGTGCGCTTGTATTTTACTACCGATTCTTTTGTGTGTGTGTGTGTGTTTTTTTTTTTTTTTTTTTTAAATTCATAATATGCATGTTATTATATGAATATAACACGCTTTATTGAACGTTGGTTCGTTCGTTCGTGTGCAGAACGTCTAGCCGCCTACCGAAAGCATCATACAAAACACGAACATCGTAGCCCCGACGACAATCCCCAGGGTGTCAGTAAAATTGCACACCTGACTTAAGGATGCAGCCGTGAAACGAACCCATGAACTTTAGAGCGCGAGCGCTTCACCGCGGAACAAGGCGGTCAAAACAACTAATCGAATGCTAAAGATGTTCAGCAAGCATAGGCAGGCCATTTCAAAACGATATGCCCGTGACTTTGGGTAGCACCTTTACGTCTTTCCAGATGAAAGTGTAACGAGTACATTGTGTTATGTGGAGGCGGGGAATGACATCCCGTGTATGCTGCCTGGTGCACTGGTTTCTACTGGCCGGTTCTGCACTACTTGGTGGTAAATTGATATATGACAAGTTAGATATCGTGAGGGCCCGTTGGGAGCGAGTGAACAGTGCGGAGGCACAGATGGATCATTACGGTCTGAGGAGAATGGCGCTGCGAGGAGTTACCAGGGGATCTGGCCGACGCTCAACACTCGGGGAAAGGATGTGACGAATATAAAGTCAGACGTTTACTGGAACCAACGGATTTGGAACTCTTCGTTTGCTGCTAAAGATGGGGAGGGCACTTATGGGAGTGTCCCGAGTGCTGTGATGTAGACTCTTAATTCAACATTTAACAGCACTGGTTTCTGTAGCCTCATTATCATCAAGTGCCTTGTCAGCTGGCGTAGGCGTTCATGATCTCCACAGATCTCGGTCTTTGGAGTAATGGATCAATTCCACTGATGATATTCCTCCATAACACTGTTTTAAGCCACCCACCATCATTTCTCTTGGTATGCCCCTGCCTCTTCTACCAGTGATCTTACCAGTCGTCACGATATTTTCCAGTGCTCCTTTTCCTATCACACGACCAAAGAACTAAAGCCCTCGATTCGTTTTTGGTCCTAGCTACAAGCACCCACTGAATCACATGCGGTGGATCAAGGCCTTTTTAAAGTATGTAGAAACAAAAATAGAAGAGACAATAAGACAGACACATATATCATTAACAGTCTGGGAGACATGCCCGCCCACACCCGAGGGAATGTCGGCAAGGATAAATAAATATACAACAACAGAATACAACAAATTCTTAACTAGGACCCATAATATTTCTGGGCTTGATGCTTCCATCTGATTCAGATCGCTCGCCCTCCACCCTGTTGTTACTTGTGCATGTCTTTCCTCTTCTCCCTTGATGTTTCCTGTTTGTTTGGTCTCCCTTTGATTTGGCCAGGCGTATTTCGAAGGAGAGCGCGTTTTCGTACACAACGTCCTTCGGACCACCATTTACAGTTTTAAAATTTTGAGTATTTTATTTTGCCGAAAAGAATGAAGGCATCGATCCATCACAAATATTCGCTCCAGCATTCAAACTTACAGGAAGAGTAGTTTGTATCTCAGTTGGTTATTTCACTAAGCAAAAATAGTCCCACATTTCTTCAAGTCTACTGAATCTGGACGTGTCTGGTCAACACCCGGGCGTGACGCCCATGTTTGTTTTATGTATTTCTTCATTCTCAAAATCCCCCCTCCCTTTTCCCCCTCTCCCTCCCTTTTCCCCCTCTTTCTTTTCTAATTGGGGATTAGAAAATTAATTCGTGTATGTGTCACAGCATTAGTTTTAACACGTCTGCAAATCCGAGATAAGATAACAAATCAGATCCTCCCACGGGGACTCTGAGAAATGGTTATATACAAGAGTGCAAACACGAGTAATCCAAATATTTTGAGAAATTATGAAGAGAAGATTCTCAACTCATCGTAGCACTGAAACATATCAGAATATCTTCTTCCTCGCATTCACCGGCGGTAAATTCCGGCGGAAAGTTCTGGTTGTTCGACCACTTCTGGACTTATGTCTTGTTCTAAAAAATAATGAGTGTTGCGTGCATATAAGGTTGTTGCGTATCCACTAGAGGACGTTGCAGAACCAACCCTAACAGCCCCTGGCTGTTGTGTGGTTTCTCTAGGCAAATTTACGTCCAGTAGTTTGCCATTGCTTTCTGGACGGTCGGCTTTCTTGATACCACTGTCGAAACCAACGCAAGGCGCATTGCCCGCAGCTGGGATCGAACCTGGCATCCCGGCATTACGAAGCGAAGTGTTCGCATCGACTTAGCCACAGAGCCGACTGCGTGCATATACGTTTCACAAATCTGACTTTTTTGTATACACATTGTTGGTTCCCTGCCTCTTAAGCAGATGTACAAATTAGAAGAAAGCTCCCAATGAGCCGACTTCTATGACATGCTTGTTAGAGAGTAAGTGGGTCTTTTCTTGTCTTCCCCAAAATGGGGACCCGGAATCCACACAGGGAACATCCGAATATAATTTGATATACTCTTGCAGAGATCGCTACGTGTGAAGTTTGATTACCACTGCCAATGGCAAAGTACTTGATAAAGACGACGATGCGCAGGAGAATGGTGGTGGTAGTGGTGATGATGAAAGATTCCTACAGCAAACAGTCTTTCTATGTTCATTTTAAATAAGTGCGCTTTCCTGGCAATATTTTCCTCTTTCGATTTCCCTATTCTGTTTAGTCTGTCGAGGAACAATGGCTGCTCTGTGAAAGGGGCGCCACTTCCAGGTTTATGCCAGCAGAAGAATGAATCGTTTGTATCCGATAGTTTACACATCCTGTCTGTCTGACAGCGACTTGAAAGGTTTTCTGTTATCTCCTCGGGTACCCTCGAGTGTTGTCCAAGTAAAAACATGTAGGTCGTGGGTAGAGACAATTTTACAACAGCAATTTCAAGAAGAAGAAGAAGAAGAAGAAGAAGAAGAAGAAGAAGAAGAAGAAGAAGAAGAAGAAGAAGAAGAAGAAGAAGAAGAAGAGGTAGAAGCAGAAGAAGAAGAAGAAGAAGAAGAAGAAGAAGAAGAAGAAGAAGAAGAAGAAGAAGAAGAAGAAGAAGAAGAAGAAGAAGAAGAAAGAA